CAGCAATGGGGATATGAGCTCTGGTGCATTGCTGCCAGTGCAGGCTGCGCGCCCGTTGCTCAGAGGTTACTGTCTGGTGCTCGGCATAATGATGGGCTTAGAAGAGAGCTACTGCGTGAATTTTCACTTATGCCACAAGTGGCACCCTTGAAGTAATATGGTCATGTAGTGATATACTTGCTGGGGGAATAACAACGAACTACATCGTCATTATCTGCCTGCGGCAAGAATATGCCCTTCATTTGACTTTCGACGCCGTATCTCGGAAACGTTGCGTTGTGGTATATCTCCTGGTTTCTGCACGTTTTAGCTAGGATATGGCACAAGTACTATATGAAATAGCTTCAGACTTGTCTCACATACCACAGGATGGTCAGAGTCAACCACACCCTATTAAAATCTTAATCTTTCTGTTGTATATATCTACGTACTACTAAGTTGCTGGTTTGTAAACCCCACATCTACCCCCAAACAAGAAATTGCAAACAAATTAACGCATTATAATCAATACCCGCACTTCGAAGCTCCTAAAAACGAGGTAAAATGTTTCAAACGGGAAAGTCAAAAGCAAGCGGGTCAAGTAAATCATGCCGGGTACCATCGGCGTAGTTAACGGAACCGGCCCACCTCAAGGTTGAGTCATTCCTTCTAGACACCACCCAAAGCACTCTTCAATAGCTTTAGCGTGTTACATACTTAATCTGAGCCCATATAGCATTGTGACACTCTTATCCTCGCTTCAGACCACCCTTCTTCTTGCCAACAATTATCTACTCCAATCACACAATATGTCTATACCTGGCGGCCGGGACGAGCAGCAGCCCGTCATATGCGTTTTGTAGGTCAATCCCAAAACCGAAACCACCCGACCTAAAATCTATAACCAGCTATCTAATCTACTAATCCCATCCAGTTGCGGCGCCCAACCGGGCAATTCACCCGAGTACATAGCCGCCGCTCGCGCGCTCGCGCATGAACTGCACGCCGCCAACGCAAAACTAGTCTACGGAGGCGGAACAAAAGGCCTAATGGGCGAGGTGGCAAAGACTCTAGTATCACTATCTGGGCCATCTGCAGTGCATGGCTTCATACCCGAGGCACTGGTAGCACACTATCCTGATGCGAACGTCGGCCGCCAGGCCGAAGGCAAAGCCCAGGAGGATGGGAAACAACCCGAGCGAATGCTTGCCCCAGGGTCTTCACCAGCCGAGGGCGAATACGGGAGAATCACTATCGTGGACAGCATGCACGAGCGAAAACAAAAAATGGCAGAGGAAGTTCTTGCCGGTGGTCCTGGGTCAGGGTTTGTAGCCCTTCCGGGCGGTTATGGGACCCTTGAGGAGGTCGCTGAGGTTGTTACGTGGAATCAACTGGGGATTCATGATAGAGGGATTGTTTTGTTGAATGTTAATGGGTTTTGGGATGGGCTTGTGACTTGGATTGAAATGGCTGCTCAGCGGGGGTTTGTTGGACAGGCGAATAAGGGTATTATGGTGGAGTGTAAGGAGGTGGAGGAGGTTATTGGGGCGCTTAAGGCGTATAAGCCGAGTGGTGGGAGGTTGAACCTTTCTTGGGGGAGTAAGTGAGGATGAAGCGAGGGGGGATGGGCGGTATTTCGAGGGCTGGAGAATAAAGTTAGATTTCGGGGTCTTCCGACAGTTGCCGGCTGCCGGCCAATTAATTCATCGTGTGCTAATTTCATTATCAATGAGCATGCCCAGGTTTTTGATTTTACCATAGCTTTGTGCGAGGCTTCGGTGTGCGCAATTGAAAAGAACATAGTTATTCCGTTAGGCTAGTATCACAAATGCCTTCTAAATTGGATGGCTGCCATATTTCGCCTCTTCCTTCATCCCAAGTCCCCCAAGTTCCTTCAGAATTGCTGCTTTAATATCATCAGAAGCCCAACAGATATCAACGGCATTCCGTTGTAGCTGAACGAACTCCACATCAGTGAAATCACCCAGTACACGAAGCAGGTAGAGACTGTTATTCAGCCAAATATCTTCCATGTATGACGGGTCATCACTGCCAATCGCTATTTTGATGCCAGCGTTGAACAACGTGCGAACCCGATCAATAATCTGAGCCTCTCCAGAGTAGCACAGATAACCCCACGGACAAATCGTCATTCCAAGGTCCTTTTCTTTGACCCTCTGAAGAAGAAAAGAATCGTCGGCGGCATGTAACCCATGATCAATCCTGTCCGCTCCGCTTCCTCCCAGCTGGTCAACCACTTGGCCAATATTCCTCAGTGTATCCTTGTCGCCGACGTCGCAATGGCAGGTTATCTTGAAGCCGTCTTTGCGAGCGCGGAGAAATACATCTTCAAAAAGCAATGGCGGACGGTCCACCTCCAGAGAGTCCAATCCGATTCCAACGATCATGTCGCGATATGGTAGTGCCTGGAGATAATGCTCCATAGCAGATTCCGGGGACATGTCTCGCAACATGCACATGACCCATTGAGAGTGGACCTAGAACAATTCTCAGCGAGAGATCATATGATAGTATATGAAGGATCCAAGCGACCTACCCCAAGATCCCGAACAGCCTCACTCTGAGCCCTCTTAAACCCATCCATCATCGTCCTAAAAGGAACACCTCTTCGCGTATGACCCTGCGGGTCAAAGAACGGCTCACAGTAACGGACATTCATGGAAGCAGCCTTCCTAAAGTAATTCATTGCCAGGCGATAAAAGTCCTCTTCATCCTGGAGGACACTGAAACCACCGTAATACAGTTCAAAGAATCGCTGCATTCCACCATCTACACCCCCTGCATCCAGGTCATTGAGGAGCTCATACGTACCCTTCAGCTCCGACAAACTCTCGCAAGGCTGCTGGGTATTGATATTGATAACTGACTCTCCGCGCCGTTGCGCGAGCTCCCACCGGAGTTCGGGCGTCATTGTGCCCTCGATATGGACATGCATTTCGATTTTGGGCATGTCTTTGATGAAGTTGTCATTGTGCTGGTGGATTGCGCTTCGATATTCTCGCAGAGTTTGGTTTGATAGAATGGATGTGTTTGAGGCCATGATAGATAGAGCGGAAGATAAGACTCCGGTTGTTGACTTGGAATTGGGAAGCAAATGGATTGAACGTCGTTCATCTATCTTTTAAAGCTTGAGCAATAATCCTCTTGATAGCGTGTCAAATCGATCGGACGCCTGAGAAGCGGGGTTTCTGCCAACTAGCAATGATTGGGCGCGGGGTTACGATGTAATACTACCACTGAGTAGTCGATTGTCATGTCTGACTGCAGATTGATTGGAGCGTCCCGAAAACCTTGCATCTTCTTCGAAATACTACCGATGTCCCCGTACCTTATCTCCATCCAACCTGGCCACCAATTGTAATTTTGAGATAGGCTTAGCCTTCCGTCCCATGGTTTATGTGCTCTGCAGATTTTGATAATCAGATATATCTTGAGTGAGTTAGTGCAACATAATTATTGGTTTAGTACTATATTAAAAGATAATGGATAATAGGAAGTACATTCCTCTAAAATTCTGGATCGCAGCCAGCTTGTACTTTACCCTAATGTTTGAGTATGTCCCAAATCCGAGAGATTCTTACACTATTATTATATCGTAGTATCTTTCTATTTCTATCTATATTCAGCGCATGTTCCTTTACTGATTCCTCTTCTAAGGAAGGATGCAAATTCGCCTAGATCATATCGAGTCACCAACTCCCAATCCCATTCATATACCCCAGTCATCATCCACATATCGCTATACTATACACTAAGCCCCCTCGAATACATCGCAAACCATCAAATCAAAATCACAAATATTATTACTCAATAAATCACATAACCCCATAAATCATAGCTCATTATACTCCCTTACAAAACAGAAAATACATACACCATCCCATCCCATCCCATCCCCAATCCTCCAACCCAGCCACTCCAGTCCAAATATAAAACTAAGAAAGATACACCTTCGTCGGCCTCCTCACAGACGACCCCCCACCATGTCCCGACGGATGCTTCTCCAGATAATAAACCGTGGGACTACTATGGCGCCGTCTTCTTCTCCGCGTTGTCGAGGTAGCCAAGTTCGCCTCGCCGTAGTCCGACCCCCCGCTTGAACTAGACCCTGATAGGGAACACAGATGCCAAAGCCATAGGATGAGTAAGGTGCCTGCGATGGTGCCGAGGACGATGCCTGCGATGCCTCCGCCGGAGATGGTGTTGGGGCAGTCGGGGTCGGCGCGGGCGGAAAGGAGATTATTGGTGTTGATGTTTCTTTGATGGAGGGGAAGTGGGGGTATTATTGGGGCCTGGGGTTGTGTTAGTGATTATTTGATGGTGGTTGTAGATGTTGGATAGAGTGGTGGTTGGTTCGGATGAGACCCGCTTTTTTTTTTATCTTATGGCTGGGATGTTGGGGTTCGTTCATCCATGGATGAGGAGTGGGTGGTACGTACCATTGTTATTAGATTAATGGATTACGGTCAATTATATTGAAGGAGAAAAGAAATGATAGGAATTCGATGGGTATATTCACTGAATCGACTTAATTGAGGGCGACATCCAAAATATAACAATTAGTCGCATCTTTCTACAGTGTGCGGGAATCTCTATCCGTTGACGTCAACCACACGTCTTTGTCCCGACGATGCCAAACGAAGCAGCGATTGTCCGTTTCCACCACGGCCCGGATTTCTTGTTCTTGATTTTTGATTCAGATACGACGCGTGGAACTCTGCCAATGACTGTCCGTGGAAGAGTCAATTGGGTTTGATGTGCCTTGTGTTGAGGGTGCGGGGTATGGCTATCATTGGTGAGGGTTTGTCGGCGTCATTGTTGCAATTCTTGGTTTGGAAGCTTGCGGAAGTAGTTGCCGGTTGGGAAATTATGGGACTACTGTTTAGTAGAACGAAGTAACCGAGGTATAAGTGATTGCTCAAGTCACAGTGTGCATGTGCATTGGTCACTCTTAGTGGCTACTGACTAGAACTGGGTAACTAGCTTGCGCCGCATGTCCTTCATATGCTCCGATGTCCTGGCGAGGGAGGCACACTGCCAGTATCCCAGGCTGTCATGTCTGCGCCCAGCTCAAACTCAATGGTACCACCCTGGGTCATGACATCCTCGTGCTCGAACCAGTTCTTCGTCCAGGCTTGTCCGTTGATTTTCACGCTTCGCACATAGTAGCCCTTGTTTAATCCGTTCGCGATGATACGGAGTGTCTGGTTGCCATTGACGGTGATGTTAAGGTCTGGAAACCAGGGCGAAGCGAGAAGATACACTGGTTGTGTGACGACAGGATAGATACCCAACATCTGCCACAGGAGCCACGAGTTCATCGCCCCGGCGTCACTGTTTCCTGGGACCCCGTAGGCTTCATCCCGGAAGCTATTTGACTTTAGTTACTGTGGATAGCAGAGGATATTAGCTCACTTACTACTGATAACCCAGATTCCGCGACTTTTCCACGCTTTTGGCTTGCTTGTTGATGTAGTTGTATAAGTACGGAGTCGCAAAGTCAGGCTCGTTCCTTTCAAACTGTTCAGTCATCACCCATATGGCTATATATCAGACTACCTACCCAATGTTTATGATTGTCGTAATACCTGCCCCATTTGCTCCAAGGTTCTGGACTGACATGTTCGGCTCAAACTAGAATATGTTAGCTGTACGCCTACCCAGAGTTGTCACCTGGGTGAGTACCATCATATCCAGTCGGGATTCAAATGTATCTGCACCACCCATAAAGTCGATCAGGGTTTCCATGTCATGCGGTAGCACAAATGAGTATTCTAGAACATTATACTTGTCAGACCAATTCATGAATTGCGAATGGCGACCTACCCCAAGGAACGCCCTCATACGTATATGCGAGCCATTCACATCCGTAGCAGTAACGAGGATCATAGCCACTGTTGTTAAACGAGCCGTTCGATAATTTGGGCGCCAAAAAGCCACTGAAGTTCAGACTCTGCACATCCGGATTCCAGATATGTTGCCACCCAGCAGACCGATTCAAATACTTTTCTTGATCGCTAGGCTCTTCCCCTGCGGCCACTTGGCTGACCGCAAAATCGTTGAGACTATACTCCACGGTTCTAGAAATGCAGCGCGTATTGCGATCTTCCGAGACATATCCCAGCTCTAACCAGTCACCCAGTGCCCCACGGCCTTCCTTTGTACTTGCGGAAAGATCAGTAGCGTCCCAAGTGTTGTATGGAATGACCTCCGCATTAGTCTTCATTGCTGCATATCCATCCGTCCAATTAATTGCGCCTCGCAGACCCTTCACATAAGCATCTGCTAGCATGTTGTCCGCATCAGAGCCGCCTTGAACCAGCCCGTTCCAGTTCCCTGAGCGGCCATCTGGTAGGAACCCCTGATGTCTAAGGATAGATTAGCGTTTTGATATGTCATTTTCGTCTTGAACTGCTTTATCACCTACCTCCAAATGTCGATAAGCCCCCGGATCATGGACTCATAGTAGGTGGGCTGATAGACGTGATAGAAGCTGACTGTGCAGCGGAATATATCCCCTAAGCATAGTCAGTGCCACTCTCCAGTTGCTGTGCAAAACCTTTCACTACTGACAAAGCGTGTAGAAGTCATCCCAAAAAGGTTCATCTGACTGCCACAGAGGGTTTTCACCGGTGCGGTCGGATGGCATCAAGTGGATAAAGTAGAGAGAACTATAAAGTAGTCGCACATTTGTCATATTCGCCGTGCTGTCGAGAGATACTTGAGTCTTGCTGAATACATCCTGGTTCCATTCGTCAACAGCAGATTGCACGGTATCGTTCAGTGTCCAAGAAGGAATTTCCGATGTGATGTATGAGCGAGCCTTGTCTGTGGAGATGAAAGATATACCAACTCGAGAGCTGATCTGTGTATCTGCTTCAGCATCCCAGCTGAAGAGCGCCCCGATACGGTCATTCATAGGGCCTGATGTCGCTTTATCGGTGGTGTTGCCATATGTTGGTTGAGGTATGCCTCCATTTGCCAGGTTCTGATAACGTGGCATCGGATCTGTGTTAATGCCGGTAAATGTACGAGCATTCGTCGGTGCGGTAGAGAACTCGCCGTAGAAATAAATGGTAAAAGGTGCGCCTTGAAGCCCCATTAGAATGCATGCGCGGCGCTACGGAGTGAAGTGCGAACCATTGTTCCAGCCACCGACGTATGTTCCATAACCGGTATATGCTTTTCCATTATCTTCAAGATTTATCTCGCCACCGACGTAAAACTGCCCATTAGAATCGCCGGGTGACCCGGGAAGATACTTTAGTCATGTTAGCTTCTTCCATATATTCTGAGTGTGGAGAGTCATACGTGGGATATATCAACCAAAACGTGTTTCTCTCCTTCAGGGAAAGAATACTGAATGATACCAGCATGTCGGCTAGCCGAAAGTTCGATCTGTACACCATTCTGAAGCAAGGTCCTGAAATACCCCACACTTGCGGAGTCGTTCCCAACCTATTTCTGTGAGCTGGGACAAATGAATGTCAAGGACAGGCAGTTTCATACCCTGGGCTGGCTATAAGTAAGGTTATCTAACAGATTTACCGGCGACTCTACAGAGGTAAGAGGCATCTGTGGTATAAGACCATATTTGGGGGCACCTCCGGTGCCGCTCTCATGCATCATGGCTAGTAGATGGAGATTAGGCACAAATTCCAAGTATGCGAAGCAGTCCTAAGAGAATATAAACATACTGACTGCGGTGACATTGCCATCAGGTGTCCAGCCACCGTTTAGAACAGCGAGACTCCAATTTGCGGCTGTTGTATCGATTCCCACCTTTACTACTCCAAAGGGTCGAGCACCACCAACGAAGATATCACCCCCGCCGTAACCCTGACCGGGAGTTGGTCCTTCCGATCCCATGAAAGGATTAACATATTGAGAATAATCCACTTGAGTGGCGGAAATAAGCTCTAACACTCCAACGACAAGAAGAAGCAACAGCTGGTTTGGAACGCGCATGTTTGCAGCTCGCATGGTAAGGCATGAACAGAGGACGCTTCGAGAGATTGACAAAGTGAGGGGGAAAGCTTATAAACAAGAGATCTTCCTGGTTATTTAGATTCATGGAAATCTGCCATTTCCCCGCGGGGATGATCAGTGCGGAGTCGGCTGCAGCTCATCCCTGGCAGGAATAATTCCACGACACATTGCATAGCGACTGCAGGAATGCTGTTTATAGTTTGTTGGCTTGTGACCCTCTCGCTGCCACACTAGGGCCCCCGCATACTTATCAATGCTTTGACAGTCTCTAATCCTCGCATTCTTCGTTTTCTCCTTTTCTTCTTCACGCGGACGCCTGTAATTGTGGTAGACGTGTTTCCCAGGTAAGTCCCCATGAGTGCCACCCAAGGTCCCATTGATGTATCCGGGAGGTAACAAGATCAGGCCATAGTGAAATCATGCCAAACGAGGTACAGCCTGGGGCTTTAAATGTACCAACAATGGATAGCGTGTCATTGCAAAGTACGGCTAAAGTCAGTGGTTAAAGAGGGGAAGGCATGACCCCACGTGGGAAGGGGACGTGTTTGTACATTCAACAAACATGAAAGCCATCAGTCATTGGATCCATGACACTCTTTGGATACCATTCAGTCTTTACATCGTCAATACCTCAGTGAAAAAACGAGTGGGTGAAACGAAGAAGAAGGATATCTGGTAGGGCTTCGTGCACAATTACTAAGCGGCACGGTCGGACTATTCGGAGTCCAGATCAATTGAGTCGAACCATCTTCATCCACTCCCCCCTGTTTGTACGTCAAGGTGACAGAATGACAATAGCATCATGTTTCAGTGCTCGCAGTGCAACAAATGTTATCAGCGAAAGAGCCACTTGCTTCGACATGAATCAACACGTTAGGCTCCTGAACATCATGCCTTCTCAGGTACGCGGAACCTGCTGACAACCCGACAGATACCGGCGCCTCCCATTCAAGCTGCCCTTTCTGCAATAAATCCTTCTTGAAGAAGTGCGTAAACCCCGCGATACTCTGAATGAAGCCACTCTAATCTGATGCACGTCAAGGGAGGTTGCACGGAGGCATAGTAAGATATGTGCCAAAAAGCACAACCAGCCTCCTCCGGCAGCAGCTAAACCCGGAAGGAAGAAGCAGTCCTGTGACGAATGCTTCTTTGCGAAGACAGCCTGCGACAGGGCATCACCATGCTCTCGTTGCCAATCCCTTGGGAAACAATGTTCCTTTGGGGCCCAGACCCCTTCAACAGATAACACTTACTCAATGTCTCCATCGCCCTCGCCATCTCTCTCGCAGACTCCGCAAAGAAGAAACGACCCATTTTTCTTCCTAGCACACTTCACTGATCCCTCTATTAAGCAAGACAAACTTGCAATTGCAGAAACAGCCAAATCCTCTACTAGAAGGCATCTTGACTCGGCATACTTCCAACAGGAAGAACCACTCTTGCCCCACGACTCCTTGTCGGCTTACATGCCAGGCTTTTCAGGTGCTGATCTGTTCCTTCAGCCCTTTTTTACCCCAACTGGGCATCTTTCTATGGAGTTCATGCCTGAAAGTGCATTATCTTCTACGATTTCCCACAGGCTCGGTGAGATGATGATGATTCTGGTCGAGACTTTGAATTCTATGGGCCAGGGCCAACAAACCCAGCTCGAAATGGCCGAACTGAACTCGCTTTTCACGACCTCCAACCTTTCGGTGTTTATCTCGGCTTACTTCCAGTCTCTTCATTGGCATCTTCCAATTGTACATTTTCCGACATTCGATCCTGCAAAGATCTCGAACCCTCTTCTCCTGGCAATATTCTTGGCTGGAGCAACATATGCTACCTCGCAAGATGGCCCAGTATTTTCAAGTATAGTACTGGACGTAGCTGAGGAGTATATCTTCCGTCAGTTGGCTAATCTATCATCAAACCCTCACCCTACCAGCGCTCCCTATCTCCTACCTTCATTGGAAGTTATCCAGGGAGCTTTGATCATCGAGATGCTTCAGTTTGGGCAGGGAGAAACGGGTACAAGACGACGCATTCGTATAATTAGACATCCATGTGTCATTTCCACAGTACGATCGTTGGGGATTCTTCAGTTCAAGCGAAGTATGACACCCGATATGTGTAACGATGAGACATGGAGAGCAATGATAGCCGAGGAAGTTTGTATAAGGTAGGACCCTACCTGTTGAGCATCAATATTGGGCACTTCTCACCAATCTTCAGAATCGCCTGTTGGGCCTTTCTCGCGGATGGATTCCTCACAGTTTGTTTCAACAATCACCCTGCATTGTCGATATTCGAGATGGACTGTCAATTCCCTTGGAGTTCCGCTCTATTTGAAGCTGAAAATGCATCATCTTTCAACGAGATCGCCGCTTCTTATACGGCGGGGCGCCCGCTACCTTCGTTAAGGGAGTTTATTACGCGTCTGCTTGATGACAATGCAACGGAAGACCTGATTCAATGGAGTCGCTCACTAGTTGGCGAACATCTGTTGATCCTGATATATGGTTTGTATAACCGTCCCCATGCAACACAATCGAGCTAATCATGCCCCTAGCAATGCACTCTCTCGCGTTTCAGGCGAGAACTGGCTTGTTCGGGTGGATATCCACGAACTCGATCAAACGGGCCGCCGAAAATTGGCGAAACATTTGGGACTCCGTCTCCAGCAGTGTAGGTAAAGAAGGTATTCACCACTTGGGGTACCCTAAGCATGCTGAAGAGCTCTGGTGGCTATTGACTGCTACGCTTGATCGCGCCAGTGGGCGGAACGTGAACTTCCGATACCTGGACAACGCCGCAACCGACGACCTAGAAAGCTTGAACAACTTCATCCGGAATATCAAAGGTCCCAATAGGACATAGTTCATATGTTCTGTCTAATAATATGTACAGGCGAGGGGCTTCTCTATCCATTATTAACATTAATATTACAAGGTTGGGCTCAATGACCGGCTTTCCCGACCGGCGGTATGGACTCTAGTCATCGGAGCAGTGCTGCGCCCCTGTAGGCGAGCGATCTTATGCGCGTGCATCCTACTGACTCTTGACGATCTTGAACTCGTCGCCGCGGGCTTTCCGATAGGTTCCTCCAACACGATCCCAGAACGTTGTGAACTGCCCATAGTTATAATTGAAGTACAGGTGGTGCAGGGTGTGGCATTCGGGGCCATTGATGATAGCAGAATGAGAAAGGCAATCGGCGTCGTCTGGATGCGATTAGCGGGAGACACCCAACCAAAGGGAGGCACTTACGGATCAAAACCGTCCACAGTGTGACGAAAACAAACAAGCCCAGATATGCACCCTTCTGCAATGGGAACAGTATCGGATAGACGTGGTACGGGAGACTCTGCGCCCACCCGTCCAATGGGTTGAACGCGAAACTCGCATAAGGTGTCGGCACGAGCCACTTGTGATGTCTCTTGTGCAACCACCGATATACCAAAGGGTGATGCTCCGCTCTATGAATCCAATAAATGCCGGAATCTGTGAATGCCACGAACAGAGGGTACTGGAGCCAGTTGTACGCAGGGAACGGAGCTTCACTGGCGAAATCGTACAGCTTAGACCACCCGCGAATCTCTGCTAGGAAGAACGGGACCGTGAGGATAGCCATTATCGGGATGGAGAACAGGGCTTGCTCGATTTCCAGACGGACTTGATTCTTCAGGAATCGTGGATGTTTGAGCAAGGTCTTGTCCCACCATGTGTGGTAGAAGATGGTGCTGCCGATGAAGTATATGGCTAAACCGAAGAGCCTAGTTATGTAACGAATGTGCTGTCAGCTGGACCATGCTCGATTGACTTCAGGGAAGAGCATGAACAATATTACCATGTGATGAACAACAATGAGGTAGCTTGTCTCGGCAGGTCATCGCGCTTCCAGCGACTGGCGGTCGCCCATTGAGAGGGTTGAAGAGGGTAGTAACGGCCAACATGTTGGTTCAGAAAGAACGAAGTATCGAAGTCCGAGGTACTATTCCCACCTGGCAGGACTGACGCGTACACTCTATCGAGGACGAACGTGTCGAGAACATCGAGCACGACATCCATCGCGGGTGAAGGTGTGTAGTATAACCCGGGGATATCGTTAGGGCTGTTTAGGGTATTGTGGTTGCGCCCAGAAAATGCGACTGCTGCTTGGGATGAAAGAAAAGAAAATTTGCGATCGATTGTTCATACAACTCCGTACTAGATATCACACGCAGAAGCTACTACTGTGTTGATTGTTACCCCGGTCATCTTATATACGCGGCGAATCCCTACCACGGGATATACCTACCACGGGGTAAACCTACACGGGGGCGATTCCCTACTAACAAAATACACTGGCGACACGGGCTATCCCTACCAACACCGACATGATCCCACCACGGGAGTGGGAGATCCATTTCCCCCGGCGAGACCGATTCCGGGGGCACGTGGGAATTGGTCCATCTTAAGAAACAAATTATATCATACGATTACCAGATCAGCCACTAATGCTTAATTCAAAGTCTTATTGACTGAAGATTAGTAAACTGCGATGGATGGAATAAAATCATGCCAATTGCAGATGCATCGGACAAATTAACCGAGTTGGGGTTGGTTCCGACGGCCGGGCAGCCGCACAGCGAGACAATCGAAAAATCCCACCAAAAGCAAGTCGGGCCAGCCAAACCTCGAGTCCATCCATTCCGTTGCTCTCATTCTATCCCCTCGTTCTGCTTCCCTCCCTCTCCTCCTCCACCCACCCACGCCTTCCCCTCTTCTTCCCCCGACTCATCCATTCTCCTTAACTCCGTCAAGATGGGTGTCACCTTCGACAAGTGCGAGACCCGCCCGGCCAACATTGACGCCATCCTCAATGGCCTCGACCGCTACAACCCCGAGACCACCACTGTCTTCCAGGACTATGTCGCCCAGCAGTGCGAGGACCGCACCTTCGACTGCTACGCCAACCTGGCCTTGCTGAAGCTGTGAGTTCATGCGCCTCTCTGTCCAAACCAAAATACATTCAGCCGAAACAAAAAGAGCTCCGACGCGGGGAACCTATCTGGTTTTATGTGATGAAGAATCTTATATCATTATCACGTTTCCTATTACCTGACACCCTACTTTGGGGGATGTCGAGACTCAATTCTCCTGAAACAAAACCATTCATTCGACCTTATATTCTGTCGCATATACATCATACTCTACAGAGATGCTAACCCCTTCACGCCCTCTGGCAGGTACCAGTTCAACCCCCACCTTCTCCAGGCGGAGACCGTCACCAACGTCCTCGTCAAGGCCCTGACTGTCTTCCCCTCTCCCGCTTTCTCCCTCTGCCTTGCTCTCCTCCCCGCCCACACTCAGCCCTTCCAGGCCTCCGACGCTGAGGCCCAGGCCGCCGCCCAGACCTCCGACTTCGTCGAGTCGATCCAGAAGCTCGCCCGTCTCTCCACCCTCCTTGAGTCTGCTCAGTACACCCAGTTCTGGTCCACCCTGAATTCGGACGACCTGTACGCCGACCTTGTTGCCGACGTTGCCGGCTTCGAGGAGCTCGTGCGCATCCGCATTGCCGTTGAGGTCGGCAAGACCTTCCGTGAGATCCCTGCCGAGGTTCTGGAGCAGTGGCTCGACCTGCGCAGCCGCGAGGCTCTCGAGAAGTTCGTCGCCGAGGTCTGCAGCTGGGAGGTTGACAAGTCCGGCGCCAACACCGTGATCAAGGTGCCCACCAACAAGGAGAACGAGGCCCGCAGCGAGGTCAAGAGCGAGCGTGTCGGTGTTGACATGTTCGGCCGTGTCATCCGCCGGGGTTTCGAGCAGGCTGCATGAGCGGATCTCAACGATAAATAGATATCCGCATCGCAACGCAGCCTTTCTCGTTCTAGATTCCCTTTCTATTCTTGCTAATATCTTGCCTCGAACGAAGATCAGACCTTCCTTCAGGTCTCGATCTCGGTCTGTCTTGTTTGGAAGAATGACCACCCGAAAAGAAAAGTTTCAAAAGAAGAACACGGGACGAAGTGTCTGCTTCGGATACCCCCCATGACACGAGCTCGGAGCCTCTTATAACATAACCAAAAAAGATGATGATGACGGGGATAGACCAGCATGGGAGAGGGTTGGGAAGTCCGGACCTGGCGCAATTGGCGTTTCGAGTTTTGCTTCTGCATGACTAGGTTGTGTTTTATCATCATCATCATCTTTTTCTCTCTTTCCTCTTCCATCTTACCTCCTATATCATTTTTCTCCTTGATTATCCTCTCACCATATTTCTCTCTACGTGAAAAGATAACGCAATTTCACCGAAGATATCCACATTGTGCGTATGCACAAAAAGCGATCAGTACCAGTACAGTGCAATCTTCATAAAATCATAACCAGCGATGTAACAGACATCCAGTAGTAGTAGTAGTAGTAGTAGTATTGTATGTACTTTTAATTTCCAAATCAAACCTAAACAAAAAGAACACAAGTCTATATATGATATATATGTCATCAACATCAAGTCTTGAACGGACATTACGCTTCACAGGTCAAATCCGTAACCCATCATCATCCTCATCACCATTCTATTTCGCCTGTTCCTCCCACTGCACACCAGCCCACTCCTCTCTATAACCGACAACACCAACTTCCTTCGGTCCACAATCCTTCCCACAAACTCCCAAGATAATAGTCCCCCACTCCATACCAGCATCATCCTTGGGTCCAAGCCCCACCCCCTCCCTACCATCCTCCAACACGCTGATAACATGAGGCACAAGCTGCAACTCAAACACGCGCTCACTACCACAATACTCACAGCGAGGCATGCGACTTCCCCCACCAACCGTAGTAACCTTGGCATTGGGGTTCGCTGTCTTCGACGGATCGTGGAGCCGCTTGCCCACCGCATCAGCATATGAATAGAGCAATGGCGTACCGCGGAACTCGTAGCGGAGGACTTGTTCGGGGTTATGGCCTAGACGGGTGGAGAAGCGGATGAAGGCCTTGTCGAGCTCGGATTCAAAGGTATCTTTGAGCTCCGCAGCGCCGCCGTTGGGACCTTCTTCTTCTGTGTTGTCGATGGTCACGTTGGCGGGGATAGTGGGTGTGGAGGGACGGGACATGGCCTCGTATTCGGCATCGAGGTAGAAGTTCGTGTAGGGGGTGGGGAAGTCGGATTGGGCGGGCCAGGGGGTGTTGGGGGTGGTGGAGGCTTCGGGAGGTGGGATGAGGTTGGTTTTGGGTTGTTGTTGTTGAGGAGAGGAGATGCGGACTTTGTCGGCGAAGGATTCGGAGAGAGTAGGTGCAGGAGAGGGGGTGGGTTTGGCGGCGAGGCCGGGGGAGGGCGCTGGGGCAGCGAATGGATTGTTGTTGGTGCTGGTGGAAGAAGCGCCGGCGGAGAAGGGGTTTGCGCTGGCGGAGACGCTGCCGGTGAGAGTGGAGGAACCGAATAGGCTGGCTCCGAGGTCTGGCTTCGGTGCGGCGGGCTTCTTCTCTTCTTCTTCTTTCTTCTCCTCGTTTGAGGGTTCAGGCTTTTGTTCTTCCTTTTGGCGGGGAGGCTGGTGTTGGGGCTCGATCTTCAGCTTTCTAACGGCGCGCAGGGCCCGGATACTGCCTGGTTTGCGGTTGCAGGCTTTGCGGGGGCAGGAGAAGATGTAGAGACGGCGTTCATCGTCGGGGAAGTCGTTGGGGAGGTCACCGTGCAGCTCGAGGAGGAGGAGCATGGGCTGGTTGCAGACTTTGCATTTGGCGAAGTCGCCCGGAGGCGGGGTAGCGTCGTCGAGCCAGGTCTGTGAGGGGTATTTTGTTAGTCGGACGGGGGGGAAAGGGGATGAAGAGATGAATTGAGAATTGTACGTACCGGCCAGCCTCCCAGGTGACTGATGGTGTCTTCTACAATCTCGTCGGCTGCGTAGCCCAGCAGCACGTTGGTCTCGCTGAAGTCCCCCTCATCGTCGAAGGAGGAGTCGCTGTCGTAGGGATCCATGGTGCTGTTCCTGGTGTGGGCAAGGAAGGTAATATATAATAGTCAATTCGAGAATCAGTAAGTCAGATCCAGAACAATGAGATCCTAGTCCAGACGCAGAAGAAGTTGTGATGGAGATCGACAGAAGAGCGCGTCTTTCTTTTCTGCCCGAAATTCTGGCGCAAAAAAAGAGTGAATCGCCCAAACGGGAAAAGCCCCATCGGCGATAGCCCCAGAATGCGCTATTCCTTATATGGGCTAGCGCAGTAACTGTGGTATCGATACATACCCGTGTGATACGTCAGTCAATACATCTGCAGCATCTCGCCATCGACCGTCACTTCCTCTTCGTTTCATCTCCATCTTTAATCCATCTTCACTTTTCCCTTTCTCGGATTACTATAGATCTGCTTCATTTGAGAATTCATTATAAAAGAGGTTATAGAGCGAGCTCTTTTGCATGCGAGCCTCTGAGCATGAGCACCGTTGCTTCTTCATGCTCCTGCATCTGACGATCGTAACGTCCACTAGTGTGGAAGCATTGCTTCACTAAATAAGCAATTCATCAATTTGAGCAATCATGCATCGCTCATCTCTTTCATATTTCCTTCAGTTTATTCTTCACATTCATGTAGTATACTACATCTTAGCTTTATGCCTTCCCCCACATGCCAATGCCACCGAACAGCAACCCTTGGGCTCATTTGGAGTCACACCACCCAAGAGGGTCGCCGTGATCGGTGAGATCGTTCCCATAGTCCCCTCATGTGCCATTCAAAACAATTAACATTTTCAATAGGAGCGGGGGCTGCGGGGTCTAGCACGGCTTATTCACTACGCAAGTATGCGGATGCCTTGCACATTCCCCTCAATATAACGGTCTTCGAACGCTCTCCCTATGTTGGCGGTCGTTCCACAACAGTGAATGTCCATGACAATCCAGCTACACCCGTAGAGCTAGGTGCTTCGATCTTCGTGGAGGCCAACCATCACCTTGTCAACGCATCCAAAGAGCTGGGACTTCACGTTAACAGCGCCAATTATGACCGACCCAGAGAGACCGAAGACACCCTTGGCGTCTGGGACGGCGAGCAGTTCGTCTTTGTGATGAAGGAAGCTTCTTCCTGGTGGAACATTGCCAAGCTGGTCTGGAGGTACGGATGGACTCCCGTGAGGACCTATCGCTTAATGAAGTCGACAGTCAACAACTTCCTCAAACTCTACGACGAGCCCATATTCCCCTTTTCATCCCTTACATCCGCTTCAGAAGCAGTAGGGCTGGTAAATATAACTGCTATTCCTGGAGAGGCCTTCCTCCAGCAGAACCAGGTGTCCGCCAAGTTCTCCCGCGAAGTTATCCAAGCTAGCACCCGTGTCAACTACGGACAGAACCTTGCTCTGATTCATGGTCTCGAGACAATGGTCTGCATGGCAACTGAGGGTGCCATGGCCGTGGAGGGAGGCAACTGGCTGATCTTCGACGGAATGCTCAAACTGTCCCACGCCGACGTCCGCTTAAACCACACAGTGACAGCCCTCGACTGGGATGCCAACGGGTCCTCAACCCTAACTATCAACACAAACACCAACTCAGAAGAAAAGCTTGAGTTCGACGAGGTCGTCATCGCCGGTCCATGGCAATTCTCCAACATCACCGTTACTCCATCGCTCAAGAACACGCCGGACGAGATCCCCTTCGTGACACTCTACGTCACCCTCTTCGCCTCCCCGCACCGTCTCTCACCTAAATACTTCGGCCTCACAGAGCCCAACGCCTACACCCCGGAGACAATCCTCACCACCCTCCCTCCGGACAGCGATATCGGAAAAAGCGAAGCCGGAGTCGGCCCAGCTGGCTTCTGGAGCATCAGCACACTCCGGACCGTGGACGCCCCAGACCCATCAGAAGGGAAACACTACGTCTACAAGATCTTTTCCCCGGAACGGCCAACAGCCGAATTCATTGAATCAATTCTCGGCCTGGAGCACAAGTCATATTCTAACACCGACACTGAAACTGACACTTCCATCGGCGATCTCTTCAAGCGAGACATCAGCTGGTTCCATGAGAAGATCTGGCGGCCGTATCCGTTTGAATATCCACGGGTCACGTTTGAAGAGCCGCTTCTTGCCCCTCATGTCTGGTATACGGGCGGAATTGAAAGCTTCATCTCTACAATGGAGACAAGTGCATTGATGGGGAGGAATGTAGCTGCTTTGATGTCTCGAGAGTGGCAGGCCCAGGTTGAAGAGGGGGAGGGAGAGTCGGCAGCGGATTCGGTTCGTCATGAGCTATAAAGGGAACGGCAAGGAATGGAGAATGGGAAATTGGCAGGACTTCTTAGTATCAAGTCATCTGTTCTCGTGCCGCGCTGTCGGTGCAGGTTTTAATGGCATGACGATATATGGCACTTATGACCATATAATATAATTGTCTAGAGTATATAGTATTCACTAATGCATCGAGAATGAAGTCCCGGGAATATTTACACAAAACTCTACAAATACTCATTGGACGGCTGTTGTCTCATGGAACTTATTATCTTTCTATTTCAGTTCATAATACCTATTTACTAGGTAAGAAGTAATACTCAACCAGGCGTACCAAGCCTCCATGCAACCACGAACTTTTCCTGCCCTGTTGAAGAAGTGTTGAAGAAGCCATCCCGGTGCTATTTGTTCATTCACATGCTCAATGCATATCCATATCCCATGACCCGCGTAAGGTTGAAAAAGCAGACCTGTATAAAACCCCTTAGAACGCACAGCCCACAATCCGTTTTTGCTCGCAATGATGTTGAACTCGTAACCTAACAAGATAAAAAACAAAGAAAAAAAGAAAAGGAGAATAAAAGAAGATAGAATGTTAAGGTATCATATCAAAAGTTCACCCGGCTATAACTAGCTTAGACGGGAAGGGGGAAGGTGCTGGCCCAGTCAGCAACCTCCTTGCGGAGGCTGAGGATCTCAGGAACGGTCTCGGAGGCAACCTTGGCCTTGAAGTCCTTGAGCTTGTTGGCCTCCTTGGGGAGCTCGCTCTGGACCTTCTTGCAGAGGTTGATGGACTGGTCAATGTAGCGGGCAATGCGCTTGAAGTCCTCCTCACCCATACCACGGGTGGTCATGGCGGGGGCACCGATACGGATACCGCAAGGGGTCAGAGCAGACTTGTCACCAGGGATGGAGTTCTTGTTGCAAGCAATGTTGATCTGCTCGAGGACAGCCTCGACACGAGCACCGTCCAGGCTCTTGTTGCGGAGGTCGACAAGGACCATGTGGCTGTCAGTGCCGTCAGAGACAAGCTTGTGGCCGAGGGTCTTGAACTCCTCCTCGAGAGCCTTGGCGTTCTTGATGACCTGCTCCTGGTACTGCTTGAACTCGGGGGAAGCAGCCTGCTTAAGGGCAACAGCCAGAGCAGTGATGGTGTGGTTGTGGGGACCACCCTGGTGACCAGGGAAGACGGAGAAGTTGATGGGGCCCTCAAGGTCATACATGATGTCCTTGCCGGTCTTGGGGTCAGTGCTGCGGACACCCTTGCGGAAGAAGATCATGGCACCACGGGGACCACGGAGGGACTTGTGGGTGGTGGTGGTGACAACATCGGCGTACTCGAAGGGAGAGGGGATGACACCGGCGGCAATCAGACCGGAGATGTGAGCCATGTCGACAATGAGGTAGGCGCCGACCTTGTCAGCGATCTTGCGCATGCGAGCGTAGTCGATCAGGCGGCAGTAGGCGGAGGTACCAGCAACCAAGCACTTGGGGCGGTAGAGCTCGGCGTTGGCCTCGAGTTGATCGTAGTCAATGATACCGGTCTCAAGGTTGACACGGTAGGGGAAGGTCTCGAAGTAGGTAGAGACAGCAGAGATCCTGCGGAGAGTATGGTTAGCATCCAATGTTGATGTGCCATGTTGTCGGGAGGCAAATCCGCAAACTTACTTCTTGGCGGGAGTCTGGTAACCGTGACTCAAGTGACCACCGTGGGGGAGGTCAAGACCCATGAGACGGTCGTGAGGGCGCATGAGAGCCTGGTAGACCTGCAGGTTGGCAGGGCTACCACTGAGGCACTGAACGTTGACGCCCCACTTGGCGGGGTCGAGGTTGAAAGCCTTGAGGGCACGAGCCTGGCAGGTAAGCTCGATGGCATCAATGTGCTGGTTGCCACCGTAGTAGCGAGCGCCGGGGTAACCCTCGGAGTACTTGTTGCTCATGGGGGAACCCAGGGCATCGAAGACAGCGTGGGAGGTGAAGTTCTCCGAGGCGATCAGGACGATGGATTCGCGCTGACGTTGGATTTCCTTCTCCTGTAATCGGGCAGTTAGTACCATGACACCACATCTGCTTCAGAAGAAAACAGTGGAAAACGTACCATGATCTGGGCGATCTCAGGATCGCTGTCCACGAGGGACACCTCCATTTGCTACATCGATGAGTCAGTGAGTGCTGCTGCGAGGAACACCCCAGATGAAAAAAGTGCAGTGGGGTACTTACGTTCCGGTGAGCCGGAGAGAGAGCGTAGGTAGCCATTGTGTAGAGGGATGTGTGAGGAAAAGGGGGGTTAGAGGAGGAAAGAGGGAAGAATGAGATGAAAGTTGAGGATGAAGAAAAGGAAGAAGAAGAGGGAAGAAGGGGAGGATTAAGAGGGAAGAAGAGGAAAAGCTAGGGATGGGGTGGGGGAGGGAAAAAAAGATTGCCTCAGGACCCAAGAAAGACGGAACGTGAGTCTTACACCCCGCCGCCTGTGCTCTAAACCCGAGCTAAGCCCCATCGGGCCCCGGGGGGACGACATCGGAGCCCGGCCACGCCTTCACCGGCTCGGGGAAATTATTGGGCGCTTACTCGTCTCCATTACTCAATGACTACACTAAAGTATATCTCATCTTGACCCAGCAGCAACAGACCAACAAATGCAAGAAGCAATTGATTTGAGTGATATATCAGGTGTCATGGCTGACTAGAATATAGTATGACAAGAATTAATCTAGTAAATTTTCCCTCAATCTCGGAATCCCGACCGGGATGCCACTAAGTGGCTAAAGGCGACAGAGAGGCAGGAAAAAGTCAATCCACTAGCCTACCAGCCCAGCTCCGATTGGTGCCGCTGGACGATCAGCATTGGGTCAACTGAAGCTACCATCCCCAATGAAACACGAGGGGCCTCGATCTACATCTGGAGGGCTGATGAGTTGTCAAGGTTTTCAAAGAACAGAATATAATACAATATGAATCAGGTCTCGACGTTGTTGAGGCTATGTTGCGTATGAGGGACGTAAGTGTTGTAGTCATTCTGCAGAATGAGCTTCATCTCTTCTGAACTGATGATCCAACTATAGTAATGAGTCATAGCATATATCCACTCCACTATTATTTCGTAGCTTCTACTTTTAGATCGCCATCCGTATCACAGTGCAGCCGTTACAAATCCTGCTCCACCATAGATCTTCCAATTCCCATGGCAAGCGTAGCCTCTCGGGATGCTCGCACCTTGTTATGGGGACCGTGGTGGCGCTGGAGGGGTCAAAGCAGCTTGCGAACAGTCCCCCACCCGAGAGAAACCATCAGAGAGACACCATCAGAGAAGTTCTGCTGGACAACTGGGAGGTTTTGCAAACATTAAGACCTGTTCCTTTCTTCATGATCACATGGCAATTTGGACAAGCCATAGCTCATAATCTCGATAGCACGGGTAATGGAAAGACAGCAGAACCCCCAAAAAAGCTTTCCCCATTAGAGCATCCGTGTGTCCCTGCTCAATACAACCACTTGTGCGATACCAGGAGTCGCATACACTGACCAACCTATGGCTCCTCCAGCTTATGCTTTATCCGGAACTTGAGTGAAGATGAGTTGGGCGAAGCTAGTAACCTGCTCAACTGTATCTTCCGGTGTGCTGTTCCCTAAGCCCTTAACCCGGCAGAGTCGCAGTGTATGATTCCATCCCAAGATCGATATAGGTTGCTCTTTACCCTCGGGGTTGCGGAGGAATCTCAGGAGATTCTTCTCGGATCCTTGTCGTGGGCTTGACGCGATCAACGTGCGATCGAGGGTAGTTGGCATTGACCCTTTCACACATACTGTCATATCATCTTCCGCGCACACCCTCAAGGTCCCTGGGACTTGAGCTTCTTAGCACCTCCTGGGCTTGCCATCTGGCCAAAGTCGGCGATGACCGACTTGAGCTTTGCAATGCGGTCCTCCAGCTCCTCAATTTCCTCTTCCTGGTCGGCAACCGACCGATCTACGTCGGGTAGGTTTTCCACCACGGCTTGTGCCTTCTGGATACGAATTTTGATTGAGCTGACCTCTGTCGGAAGGTCCTTGATATCGAGCGCTGGAGAGGTATTCGAACCCAAGCCGGATATTTCTGCACCACCTGGACCAGCTGAAGGTACTGTCCCCAGTACTCCAGCAGTGTTGGTGTTCTCAGCCCCCGCTTGTTGTTGCGATTGAGGTTGGCCGGGGGTGCCTGAAGGTGGTCCGGTAGGAGCACCAGCTCCGGTAGGGTCATCGGCCGCTCTCACGCCATTGGATACGCCAGCAGCGTTCGTTGGCGGCGATAAAAGACGTGAAAGGAGGCCATGCAACGGTGGAACGATGTCGAATGTCTGTGGAGAAGGGAAAGGGACGGCTTGGGGGGTTGCGGGGGCGTCTCTGACCATCGGGGTCTCGGGCGCGACGGATGATTTTGGTAGGGGAGTCACCGCCGTGGGGGATCGGGACGCCATCGCGGGAAGGGCAATACCGCGGACCAGACACACGACGAAAAAGAAGAAGAAGAAGAGACAAAAAGTTGAAGTATCAGAGCAGGCGGCTCACGTGGGGAAAGGGAATAGCCTCGTTTCCCGGGGGAAGCTGGGTAATTGTTTAGGGAAGAGCCGGGGAAGCCGGACGAGAACGGGAGGGAGAGGAAAGTCGGAGAAAAAGAGACTAAAGAAGGGAGTGGAAGTGGAAGGTGACGTCGGGGCGGAGCGAAAACAAAACAAGTCCCAAAGCGTCACCGAAAGCCAAAGTGTGGTGCCCCTCCCCCTCCTCTCTATTACTATTACTGTTACTACGCTGGTCTTGCGATTGTGTTCTTCACCGGCCAGCCTTTTCGTGACTCCACCTATCAATTCTCCTTCTCCTTCTTCTATCCTTCTTCTCTCCTATCCTTCTTCTTCTTCCTTCTTTCACTTCTTCTTTTTCCACCCATTTTCTTGCTCTTGAATCTCTTTTCCCCACTTTTGGTGAGTGCTTCCCGAGCCCATCCCGCTCTATCCCCGGACTTCATTTTGCGCTGGGAATGTAAATTGCTTTGGCTAACATATGCACTCCAACAAGTTAAGAGCACAGAGTATATAGCAAAAATGGCCAAGGTTGATCAAAAGGTCGCCCTCAGTAAGTTGAACTTGCCAACTGTTTTCTGTCGCCCATCAATCCACTGATATCCTGCTGTCTAGTCGTCATCGATGGCTGGGGTGTCGCCGGTCCCAACTCCCCCAAGGACGGCGATGCTATCGCTGCCGCTGAGACTCCCTTCATGTCCGGCTTCGCCGAGGCCGACTCGAAGACTGCTCAGGGTTACACCGAACTCGATGCCTCCTCCCTCGCTGTCGGTCTGCCGGAGGGTCTCATGGGCAACAGTGAGGTCGGTCACTTGAACATTGGTGCTGGCCGTGTCGTTTGGCAGGACAGTGTCCGCATTGACCAGACCCTCAAGAAGGGCGAGCTGGGCAAGGTGGACAACATCGTCGCTTCCTTCAAGCGCGCCAAGGAGGGTAACGGCCGTCTGCACCTGTTGGGTCTGGTTTCGGATGGTGGTGTCCACTCCAACATCACCCACCTGGTCGGTCTGCTGAAGGTCGCCAAGGAGATGGAGATTCCTCACGTCTTCATCCACTTCTTCGGCGATGGCCGTGACACCGAGCCCAAGAGCGCTACCAAGTACATGCAGCAACTGCTTGACCAGGCCAAGGAGATCGGTGTTGGTGAGATCGCTACCGTTGTCGGACGTTACTGGGCTATGGACCGCGACAAGCGCTGGGACCGGGTTGAGATCGCCATGAAGGGTATTGTCTCCGGCGAGGGTGAGGAGAGCTCTGACCCCGTCAAGACCATCAATGAGCGCTATGAGAACAAGGAGACCGATGAGTTCCTGAAGCCTATCATTGTTGGCGGCAAGGACAGACGTGTGCAGGGTATGTTTTGTTCCCTCTGCTCAATGATGAAGGTGTTGACCTGCGATAATAGATGGCGACACTCTCTTCTTCTTCAACTACCGTTCCGACCGTGTCCGTGAGATCACTCAGCTGCTGGGTGACTACGACCGCTCTCCCAAGCCCGAATTCCCTTACCCCAAGGACATCCACATCACCACCATGACCCGGTACAAGACCGACTACACCTTCCCTGTTGCCTTCCCTCCCCAGCACATGGGTAACGTGTTGGCCGAGTGGCTGGGCAAGAAGGATGTTAAGCAGTGCCACGTTGCTGAGACTGAGAAGTACGCTCACGTTACTTTCTTCTTCAACGGTGGTGTTGAGAAGCAGTTCCCCGGCGAGGTCCGCGACATGATCCCGTCTCCCAAGGTTGCCACCTATGACCTCGAGCCCAAGATGAGCGCTGCCGCCGTGGGTGACAAGATGGCCGAGCGCCTTGGCGAGGGCAACTTCGAGTTTGTCATGAACAACTTTGCTCCCCCCGACATGGTTGGTCACACCGGTGTCTACGAGGCTGCCATCCAGGGTGTTGCTGCCACCGACAAGGCCATCGGTGTCATCTACGAGGCCTGCAAGAAGCACGGCTACATCCTGTTCATCACCGCCGACCATGGGTAAGTTTCGCCTCCGATGAGTTTGCGCAAGAACTTCTCACTGACCTTGGTTTCTTCTTCGCAATAGAAACGCTGAGGAGATGCTTACCGAGAAGGGCACCCCCAAGACCTCCCACACCACCAACAAGGTTCCCTTCGTCATGGCCAACGCCCCCGAGGGCTGGAGCCTCAAGAAGGAGGAGGGTGTTTTGGGAGATGTTGCTCCCACCGTTCTGGCCGCCATGGGCATCGAGCAGCCCGAGGAGATGTCCGGCCGCAGCCTTTTGGTTAAGGCATAGATTTAGCGTATAGAGTAGATGTCATGTATTGTCTGGATACGATTCCATTGATGAAGAAATGAATTATTACGGTGTCTATACTGGGGTTTAGCTTTGGAGCGAGATAGAACAAGATTTTGTTTATTTTCAATTTCTCCCATCTCTGATACAAGCGTACTTCCAATTGTGCCTTGACGGGCACACCGTATCTCGATCAATCACAGCACCCACACAGGGTAGGTGTCACACCTCGGTCGACAGACAGCAGGATCGATCGACTACGTATCCGCATACTCTTATGAGAATATTCGCAACGATCATTAACAAGGGTATCTAAAACCTCTCAACCTCGTCGTGCTGGGCCAGAATTAGCCATCGCACAAAGTAGTTCTGCTCTGCCGTCGGTGCTTGTTCTTCTTCTCGCACGACCTCCGAGGCGACATGCATCATCGCTTTCGAGGACCGATCAGGTACCTTGGCTGCTCTTTCACATCCGCCATCACCAACAATTATATATTTTCCTCGTGTGATAACAGTAGTCACTGCCTTCCACCTATAGTACTGATAACAGCGATCCGTCTACAATCAAGCAGAAGCCGCCGCCGCTGCTTGTTGCATCTGAGTCTGGAACTGAACGATCTGCATCACGATTGTCAGAACGATGACCGAAAGCATGCTTATTATTATGACAATCAGAAAACTAACCTCAGTGCGCTTCTTATCAGACTTGTCCTGGTTCTCCTGGATCTGTCCCTCAATGCGCTTGCTATAATGAATACATCACGTCAGTCACAGCTCCCACCCAATGAGGAAGTGGGGAGGGGGGTAACGGTAACTGAAACGTACATTTCCTTCTCAATAAACTCAAGACGTCCATTGACGGCCATCAAGGCCTCACTCTTCTCTTGCTTCAGCAAGACCGGTCCGATCAACTTGTAAATGTTCGACTCGTCATCGAGGGAGTTGAATTCCTTCTGAACGCCGACGTTCTCCTGTTGCTGGGATTCGAGCTTCTGGCGCGCTTCGACGAGACCGTCGAGCTCTGTTGAAAACAGTTGTTAGTATTTGTTCCATGCTTATGACCAATGGTGCGTATAGCATAGCACAACACCAAGCTAGCTGGAATAGATAAATGACACTTGCATGCCCATGCTCATGCACCCCTTCCCCGAATAGGAAAACAACTCATGGAATACCAACATACCCGTCTGCAAGGCCTGAAACTCCTCGGTAAGCGCCTGCATTTGCTTTTGTGCGTCCGCCATGATGCTGTGTGATAAATCCCTATTTAGCCCGTGATCGTGTGTGCTGATGTGGTGATTGATGGTCGTCGGGGGAATGAGTTATCTATCGGAGGGGCAAAATGGGAAGCGGAGCGGCAGAAAACCAACCAAAGACGGTAAACAAGACCGTCTGCCCGCCTTTTCGGTGTCTCTCTGTCTCTTGTCTCTCGTGCCATTCCTCCATTCCTAAGTATTTCCTCTTGAATGTCCTCCTTTACCATTCTATCCTGATTAGAGACCTTCTCAACTCTTCCTTGGAAGAAGTGTCTATTCGCTGAGAATTATTCATATACGTCATTGTTTGTTCCGTGTTCCGGTGCAATCGAGTCCCCGTCTCCTTCTTGCGCCCGCAGAGACACAGACTAGTACTAAGTACTACTCCAGACGGACGGACGAAACCAGGCAGGCTTCCGTCGTCATTCGCTCCCCGCCTTCGAAACAGTCCAGCCAGCCAGCCCTGCTTGCTTCCTATTCCTGCGATCATTCCGTAACGACACTTCGATCCTTTTCATTTTCACACCATGAGTAATACCGACTTCCTAGGGAGGGCGATTGACACCGTCAAAAAGGCCATCGAGCACGACAATGAGGGCGAATACGAGAAGGCTTATCAGCTGTACTACTCGGCGCTGGAGCTGTTCATGCTGGCACTGAAATGGGAGAAGAACCCCAAGTCCAAGGAGATGATCCGCGCAAAGGCGGGCGAGTACATGGATCGCGCGGAGAAACTCAAGAACCATCTCGCTACTCTAGATAATCGAAAAAAGCCGAGTGCGGTGGGCGCTAACGGCAAGGTGGCGCAGGGGAGTGGGAAGGGAGGGTATGTTGCCGACATCGCCTTGCGATCAGTTCTGGCACAGAGAGCATTGTGTGCTAACACTACTTGTTTGGTGAATTAGAAACCAGGACGAAGATGGCGAGGACGCCGACTCGAAGAAGCTACGGTCCGCCCTTGCTGGGGCGATCTTGTCGGATAAACCCAACGTGCAGTGGGAGGATGTTGCCGGTCTGGAGAGCGCAAAGGAGGCATTGAAGGAAGCGGTCATTCTACCTATTAAGTTCCCACACCTCTTCACGGGGAAACGTCAACCGTGGAAGGGTATCTTGCTCTATGGGCCCCCGGGTACGGGAAAGTCATACCTCGCCAAAGCTGTTGCGACGGAGGCGAACAGCACCTTCTTCAGTGTCAGTAGTAGTGACTTAGTGTCGAAGTGGATGGGTGAGAGTGAAAGGTATGGCTACATCAGGGATCTTATGTCGCCACATGCCGGTTCCTAGAGCTAACATGCCCACCTCTACAGACTCGTGAAGCAGCTCTTCAACATGGCCCGAGAAAACAAGCCGGCGATTATCTTCATTGACGAAGTCGACGCGCTCTGCGGTCCTCGTGGAGAAGGTGAATCGGAGGCATCTCGTCGTATCAAGACGGAATTGCTCGTTCAGATGGACGGTGTCGGCAAGGACTCCAAGGGCGTTCTGATCCTCGGCGCAACAAACATTCCCTGGCAATTGGATGCCGCCATTCGTCGTCGATTCCAACGTCGAGTCCACATCAGTCTCCCCGATATCAACGCACGAATGAAGATGTTCATGCTGGCCGTCGGCTCCACACCCTGCGAACTGACGCAAGCCGACTACCGAACCCTGGCGGAGATGAGCGAGGGCTACTCCGGTAGCGATATCAGTATTGCTGTCCAGGATGCGCTGATGCAACCCATCCGCAAGATCCAAACAGCAACGCACTACAAGAAGGTGAGCCCGCTTCCCACCATTGATCCATACAAAAGAGAAGAGCATCCCACTAATCACAAAAATAGGTCATCCTCGACGGCGCCGAAAAGCTAACCCCCTGCTCACCGGGCGACCAAGGCGCAATGGAAATGTCATGGACCACCGTAGAAGCCGACCAGCTCCTGGAGCCCCCGCTCGTCCTGAAAGACTTCATCAAGGCGGTCCGCAACTCCCGACCAACCGTCAGTCAAGAAGACCTGCAACGAAACTCCGAATGGACCAAGGAGTTCGGTAGCGAGGGTGCTTAATCCAACCCTTCATCCTACTCTTCACACATCCATCTTCTCTCCATCTAGAAGAAGACAAACGAGTCCGTCCGTCCTCCTTCCTCCTCTCGTTGTGTCTCATCACGACCCGATAGAATCAACCAAGCTCCCATAAAGTCAAGCCTTTGTTCTCATCCGTCCCTATCATGGTTTCAGGTTTCCCCTTTCCCCCATCCCGATATTGGTTCGATGAATGCATGCTTGGGTTTCAGGTTGCTCAATTGGAATGAACGAACGAACGAAAGAGAAGAAAAGAAAATCCCACGACCACACACACACATACGTTACACCATCGAGATGCTTCCTACGACTTTATCCCCATCATCTTATTATTCTTTATCTCTCTTATCTTCTTCCTCTCACCTTCCATCTCGGTGTTAGGCAAACTCTGTTTTTTATCATTGTGCAGCAAGGCGAGGCGTTAATTTAAAGTCCACTGTTTTTCTTATTTCTCTTTCTGTTAACTTAACTACATGACGAGCTTGGTGTGGAATGAAATGAATGTCGGCTGGAAATTCAATTCTTACGTTATGTGCGTATAGACCAAGTAGCCTTTGTGGTGGTCTTTATTGATTGTTTTCCTGAGGGTTGTTGACCGAAAACACACCCACTACTGGTAGACAATAACCATAGACTCAAAGTTAGGCTCAGACATATCTCATTAACCATTCAATCTAACCATCCAGAACCAACATAACTAAGAATAAGAGTATATGTGTGAGGGATCCAATGTCCCTGGGGTTGCAACTACACAAACACAGAGTGGGTAGCTAGTAGGTACAGTACCAACGACAATTCCTTTCACAATCCAACCTAGGAGAGGACAACGCCTTAAAACACATCCATCAAAATAACGCCGGGGAATCTTCTCAACGAACCCAAAAGGAAATGCAAAATCATTGGAAAATAATGGGGGATGAGTCAACGGAAAAGAGGGAGGGAGGGAAAGAAGGAAGGGTGGAAGGAAGAGAGAGGCTCGACATTAGACGGTTCGAGAGGGTGATCAGGATTTACTGTATGAAGCGTCTCGCCTCTTCAGCACCTCGTTCTTCGCCCGTCTGAGACCCTCACCAAGCTTCTTCGTCTTCTTCCAGTCTTGGCACATCCTTTGCATGCGGACGACGGCCCTGACCATGGAGACGGCAGTCTTCAACTTGGATTGGGGAGTGCGGGTCTTGTTGCGGTCACGGGATTTGACGCCCATGTCGGAGATCATGCGGAGATCAGCTTCGTTGCTGTTGGAAGGAGGATGTTAGCTAAACCATTATACAGAAAGGGTAGATGTAGAAATGAGGGAACTAACCAGGCAACCCGAACACGCTCGCCAAGTTCCATCAAGCCCTTACTCCAAGCCAGGTCACGGCGGAACTTCTCCTCACGCTTCAGTCGCGCACGAAGCCAGATGATTTCCTTGCCTAGACCGAGCATCTCCTTCTCATGCCTTGTCTTACTGCTCTCGCTCTTTGTCCCCATCTTCTCCACAAGATGGTCATATCGTTCTTGCAGGGCTTCCAGCTCCTTTAATGCCGATTCAGCCTTTCTAGCACAGAATGAACGCTCATCACGGATCCTGCGCATTTGCGCCTTGAGCTCGGCCATACGGGCCTCTCGCTCTGACACCTTGAGCGCGAGCGATTCAGCCTCCAGAGTCGATGATTTGAGTAGCTCATGAAGATCACGCTGGTCTTCTTCTCTCATTGCGGCTCTTTCAAGATCGCGATTCTTCGATTTGACCTCCCGTAGCGTTCGGTGTGCCTCAGACAGCTGTTTCCGTAGGTTCCGGAGCTCATCATGGAGTTTGTTGGAGGGTGAAGAGGAGGGTGAGTGGGATTCGTATTTCTTCATCATCGCATCGTGCAATTCCTTCTCCAATTCAGCAAGCCGTGCTTTGTAACTTCTGACGGACGACTTCTGGTCGGCTTCGCGCTGCAGCAACGTCTTCTCACGCTTCCGAGCCTCGTCCAGACTATGACGAAGCATTGAGAGATCTCCATTTGCAGTCGAATGTTCGTTCTCAGCATGTGGCTGCTGCTGAAGGAGGTTCTCAAGCTCTTGTATGCGTCTTTCGTAGCGTTGCGCCTTACTCTTCGTCAATGCAAGTTCGCGATCCCTTCCACCTGAAGTCGTGTGTAGTTTATCGTGAAGTTGGTCGATTTCGGCTGACAGACGGTTCTCTTCCAGGGCAGCCCGCTCGATCTCAGCGCTTAGCTGTTTTTCTAGCGTCTCCTTGGCTTCCAACAATGAGGTTCTGTCCTCCTTGAGGCGTCTAACCTCGCCTTCAAGCCGCAGAACGGATTTTCGGAGATCGACCTTTTCCTTATCGAAACGCGTCGTGTCGTCAACTGGATTTTGGGCCTGATCCAGCTGGACCTGAAGCTCATCGCGTTCGGTCTCAATCTCAGCAGCAGACGTCCGCAAGTCATGCAATTCGACATGAGCATTAGCCAGCTGATCACGGAGTCTCTGTTTCTCGCTGATGAGCTTCTGGATCTGACTGTCGTGTTCTGCAGACCCTTTCTGTGTTCGGCCCTTGGTATACTCCTGTTCTTCCTCCAAGCTTGATTGTAGGACAACAACTTCATCCTCCAGAGCCTGGATCTTTTCTTGAAGCGCTGCCTCTGAGCGTCTAACAATCCTCAAATCCTCCTTGAGAGAAAGGATTTCATTCCGCTGTTCATCAATTATCTCCCGTTTTGATGTCAGATCATCGTTCAGTTCTTTGACCTGTCGGCTCAAAACAGCCTCCGAATTGAAGTGGCGCGTCTTTTCGCTATCGATGACTTCTTGCAGTTTCATCTCCTTTCCGGACAGAGTATGTTCGACTTGCTCAAGCTTCTCAATTGTGCGCTTGAAACCAGCTGCCTGATCCTCGGCCCTGTCCTTCTGCAATTGCAAGGCACGCCTGGCGCTCTCCCACCTGTCTTGCTCGAGAGCAAATTGGCCCTCCTTGTCTTCGATTTCGTGGTGGAGAGCCTCAATCTCTTCTTGTAGTCTCTCGACTTCTTCCTTGTAGTGAGTACGGACAGTATTCGTATTGTCTAGCGCATGGTGATGCTCTTCCTCCAAGGCTTGTTGTAGCTCCTTAATTTTAGACTGCGCTCTCGCCAGCTCCTGCTGCAGGCCACCGGACTCGTCCGTCAATGCATGATGTCGGGTTTGTAGGAGTTCTTTCTCCTCCGATTTGCGTTGGACTTCGTCGAGGGCTTCCTGTAATTGGGCGGAGATCCTGTCATATTCCTGTTGGGCCAAATCTCGCTCGTGTCTTGCCTGCGCAGCATCATCCTGAAGCTTCCGCTCCTTGTCGTTCATCTGCTGCTGAGATTCCCGATATCGCTCCTCAAGTCGGGCTTCGTGATCAGATCGTGTTTCGATATCTTTCTTCAATGCGCTGTTCTCTTGTTGGAGCTCACGAAGCTCCTCCTCCAACTTGCTGGCCTTCTCCTCCAGCTGGCGCGTCAGTCCACTTGTACTGATAGACTTGTTCGCCATCTCATCGTGCAACTCTTGGAGATCTTTCTGAGCCTGGTCCTTCTCCATGACGGCTTGGCTTGCGGCATCCCTCGCTTCTCTTGCATCAGACTTTGCCTGATCCAGCGACTCTTGTAGCTCTTCCATCTGCTCCTTCGCACGTTGCAGTTCTGATTCCAGCTCAGTGAGTGCATCGCGTTCCTTGCCGTCTCTGTCCTTCAATTCCTCGATCTCTTCGTCGCGTTCCTCGATGGCCCGATCCCGCTCTCTTACCGACGCCTCAAGATCTTCAACTTCGTCACGGAGTTTCTCCATCTCCTGAGATTGGCTGTCCTTGGCATCCCTCAAATCCTCCTGGAGCTCCCTGATTTGGTTGTCTCTCGCTTCGATCTCTTCCCGCATCAAATCCATTTCGCGCTGTATCGTATCGTCGGTCGGTCTTCCCCGCGCTTTCTCCCTGAGCTCCTGAAATTGTATGCGGTACGATTCGAGGTCGCGTTCAGCCTGCTGAAGGCTCTTCTTGTAGCGTGAGATGTCGCGTTGCATCGTTAATTTCGAGACCTTTAGCTCTGTGTTTTCCTTAAGTGCTGCTTGGTTGTAAGCGGGACCGGCCTTTTCCAGTTGCTCCTGCAAGAAGTGAATTTTCAATTTAAGACCGAAATTATCCTTGTCTAATTGATCGATCATCTATTGCTGTTAGCAAAGTTTCCTGGTGACAAAATTCGTTTATTCACCTTCTCCTGTTCCTTCAATGTCATATTATTTCCCTCATTAAGGACACCACCGTTCCTTGACAACCCTGGAAGCGGTGTGCTCTGCACGCTGCTGCTTGCAACCTGCGGGATAGGAGTGGGCTGATCATCGGTCGCGTCCTCCTCATCAATATCGGTCATTTCCATTCCAGGAAAGCCCGGCGTGTTGCCATTGCTCAAATAACTCCTGCCTATATGTCCCGGGGTCTTCGGTCCGCGCGTCGTAGACATATTTCGCAAATAATTGTTCTTCGTGGCACTCCTCATAAGAGGCGTAAATTCACCCTTGGGAGGCGCTGCGGTAGGAAGCTGATGTCGACTATTTAACGCGCTTCTTGTCGATTTGGAAGCTGCGCCTGCACGCGGCGTATGAGTCTTGAAACTCCCGGAAGTCCGCCTTCGACCGTCACCAAGACCCTTAAGAAGGTCATCATCCTTGGAAGGCGTAGCAAACGAATTTTCCACTGAGTCGAGTGCCGTCAAATTGGGTCGTCCCACGCTGCGATAGCCGGTCAAGTAAGTCGCGTTTCCGTCGACTTCGGTGCGCGGCGTGTCGATGTACGGATACGCCATGGCCGACGGGTATAACGCGGGGTTGTAGTGCTGAAAATTGGTGTGAACAGTGTATGGGAAGGAGCGAAGGCCATTCAATGGGAAACCATCGCCGACAACACCATTAGAAATCGGGGGGAACGCGGCGGAGGGGACTGACAATCTAAGGTAGTACTGGAAATGCGATGCGATACGGGACGTGTTTTGGGCGGTGAGGCCTCAAGCCCTCGTTCTTGTTGACATCTAGCCCAACGCGACCTAGCGCCCGGTCACGGGGCCCGCGGCCAAGCAATTCGCCGCGTCTCGTCCGGTATGAAGTCATGCCGTAATTTATTTTCAAAGTTCTTATGATCGAAGAAGTTAGTTGAATTGCTGCACCCAGCAGCCTGAAAACTATATTCAAAACAGAAAGTGTGCCTGCTGCAGATATTCGCAACATGGCACCCATGTCTGAGGAGGATCTGGAGTGGTTCAAGTCCACTTTCCACCCCATTCCCAAGCCGGAGATCCCTGACGATAGTGTCGATTATTCTCTTTACTATATTCCTTCCAGCCCCGCCCCCGCTGTCGTCGACGAAGTCGCTGAAACACGAGCGAGATTGGTTGAGGTGCAACGTACCTCTGCAGAATTGGTAAAAGACCTACTAAAGGACTATATCTGGCAACGTGAAAGCTTTCGGCTGGAAATCACGAAAGATGATGGTGCGCGACGTTCATTTGTTATATTGATTGGCTTATCCCAGCCACTAACAGATACCTAGGAGTCACTTCTTTGCACGGGCGCACCAACTTCGGCGATTCAATTGAGGACGAGTGGGTTATTGTGTATCTGTTGCGCGAGTTGACCAAGAAACACAAAAATGTCTGGGCGAAAGCTGTGGATGGTGATGGTCAGTTCCTTTTGGTGGAAGCTGCCGCCACGCTACCTGCTTGGCTGGAACCTGAGGTAGCAGATAACAGAGTCAGTGGCACCTCCGGTATAATGTCTGTTATGACGCAGGCTAATTTCCTCTCAGGTCTGGATCAATCAAGGTCAACTTGTCATAATCAAGCCCAAGAACGATAAGAAAGGTAGAGTGACGGAAAAGATCTCGCTATCGGATGCAAAGAAGATCATCATGGAGGAGCCGGCACGTCTGATGAGGTCTACCATGATACAGGAGGAGGCGTTCTACCGTTTGCGTAACTATCCCCAGCAGATCAACGAAAACCTTCACTCTTCGTTCGTAACCATCCCTCGCAAAGTTGCCTTCCTACTTCATCAGAAACCCGCATATATTTCTGCCGCTGTGGAAGCCTTCTATCTACGCGATCCGATTGCACTGCGACCTCTTCGATCCAAGGATACTGACAGCTTCATCTTCAAGCCTGAAGATTTCGTCACCGTGAGCGTCCGCTTCACGCGAGTTGGATATGCGCAGCTCAAAAGCCAGGACTTTCCAGTACCGAAGTCATGGAACGACAAACTACCCACGACAGATGAACAGAAAGCATATGATCGGGCCGAGATAGGCATGAAGCTGGCTTGTGGATTTGAGATGCTTCTTACGGATCCTCAGAATCAAGACAAGGCGGCCGTGCGAGAAATGAAGCTTATACTGGAAGATCTGGACACTGGTGATGAACAACTGCCCACAGACAAGGATATCGAAACCTGGGACAAGCGACAAGATGACGAGAAGTGGCTCGACATCAGCTTTGAAGACTTAGATCGAGAGCTCAAAGGCAAGGGGAAAGACAAAGACGGCAGACCGAGCGCTGAGGGTACTTTTGGGGATGCGAACGCGCAAGAAAATCTTCAGCGTATTGTGGCGCAATTCGAGAAGTTCTTGAATGATGATGCGGCTGGCTTCGAAGGAGCAGAATTCTTTGATGACTATGGCACTGACACCGATGATGACGATAATGATGAGGATGAGATGAGCAGTGACGGTGAAGATAAAGAGGCCTCGTTCGACGAAGAGGAATTTTCGAGGATGATGAAGGAGATGATGGGAATGCCATCAGGCGGTTCTGGTCTGCCGGGCTCGTCTCGGCCTTCGAAGCCTCGGGGTCGGGTGGAGGAACTGGATAGCGAATCCGAGGATGACACGGAGCAGATCAAGGAGCTTTCGAGGCAAATGGAGGCAGAATTAAAAGGCACGGGAGTGCTTGATCTCAATCGCAAGCCCAAGACAGCCGGTGACAAGCAGACTTTGGCTGATACAAAGTCAGGAGAAGCAGAGGACGATGACCTACCTGAACTGGATGAGGAAGACATTGACATCAACTTTGCGAAAAACCTTCTCGAAAGTCTTCAGGGCCAAGGTGGGGCGGCTGGCCCAGCGGGAAACATGCTTTCTATGATGAACTTGGCTATGCCCAAGGACGATCGCCACCGCTGATACTGCGACTATAAATGACGAGAATACCAATGATGTCCCGGGTTGACTGTCAACGACAATATGAAATATGGCCAGTCGCTAACGTATGGCCCTTCAATGGTCCGTCACCAGACGAGCTGACCTCACATACCTCTGCCAGACAAGAGGGCAGGTACTTCCCTACCGTCGTTCTATGCTTAGGGTCCTGGGAAGCTGAACGCTTGCTGTGAGGAGCTCGGATCGAGCCCTTATACTTCAGCCTGCCAACGTAAATCTAATGAAGGCTCAGCTGACGTGCAAAGCGAGGTCAAATGTGACCTAGAAGTACGTGCTCACTGTCTGGGAAAGCTGGTCATTAGACATCTTTTAAATGAAACCACTCCTCACTTCCCATGGGACTGGCTGCTCTCATGGAGCTGTATCGGTGGTATATCGAACATGATAGAATATAGGTGCCGAAATTTTAGGGAACCATGGACATAACGAGATACTGTATATAGTTACTACTCATATAGTATGATCTGAAGACAGCCTGATGAAGTGGTTGCGTCACACAGTAGTAGTTCTCCTATTAACCCCACATACTAGTACGTAGTATATATATAAGTACAACTCAGACACTTACTGGTGTTGGACTCATTTGCTGAAGAATCTAGTACTTTAACCAACATCATATCCGTCACCCTATGCCAGATTCAGTGTCTCACTAGTAAACCATCAATTGATGAAGCCACCACCATGATGATGCTGTAGTACGCTTGTCACCATATAGTAACTGCCTGTGACATGGGATCTTCTTTCAGCGTCCCCGATAAGCCCGATAAAAGGTCGAAGGCGCCGATAAGCCCCCCCCGTGTCGATCACGTGGCGGCGTTATCGGCCGGGCTGGCTCGTACTTCCCCTCGTTGGGCTTCTTCCCCCTCTTCCTTCCCCTCTCTCATTTGCCTCTCTCTTGCTGCCTTTTCCGTGGACTCTCACCTTATGGGCGGATCCCTGGCACTGGACTGTACGTTACTGCTGGTCTCTTCGTTCAGCATCTGGTCCATCTCATCTCAAGTCCCATCGGACCTGTTGTGCTGCAAGTAGCCTTCTGGTGCCGGATTCCCCCGGTCAAGCCGAGCAACCGGGTGCCTGTCTAGTGGCAGAACTCCTAGGCTGTGACGAACAGACCTCAAATCGACATCGCTGTTTCTATACATATTCATTGAAAGTCCCGACTCCGTGACTCTTTATCTAAGCAAATATACATCTGGATATAAAGAATGGCCACCCCGGCTCAATGCTACTACTGTTTCGAGACCCTTGCTGCCTCCTATAGGCGCAGAGAACCAATCAGCCTTGCGTCTGTGGAAGAGCTCTGGGAACGACACGAACAATATAAGAAGCTCGCCGCGTTAGATGAGGATGACGATTCGCAATTCGTAGACGAGGACGAGAACACCGCGCCGCTTTCTGGGAAAAGCAGTCGCTCCCAGAAAATCAAAGTGCCCCGAGTCAGTCGGCTTCAGTCTGGCTCGAGCTCCTCTACAACACAATCTCTCGCGTCTACCAACTCATCGCAGTCTGTCCTGTCAAGCTCAACCTCAGTCACGACACCCAATTCCTCGTCAGATACGGCCAGTGGCAAGCCGAGAGAGGACAAATATCCTCTGTTTGTAACATGGAATACTGTCTCGAAACACGGCCACAAATCGCTCCGGGGCTGCATTGGCACATTTGAGGCGCAGGAGCTTGCCGAGGGCCTGAAATCCTACGCGCTCACATCGTACGTATATCCCTTTCATTATCCATGAGACCGGGCCTTCCACCTACACCTTGGCAAGGCTCGCGCATGCTAACCGCCCACAGCGCATTTGATGACACTCGGTTTCCCCCCATTCCAGAGTCTCTTCTGCCATCTCTCTCTTGCTCATTGACGCTCCTCGGGTCTTTCGAGCCATGCACCAACGCTCTGGACTGGATCCTTGGGGTGCATGGCCTTCGCATCTCCTTCATTCATCGCGGCAGACGTTATGGTGCAACCTACCTTCCTGATGTCGCGGTTGAGCAGGGATGGTCCAAAGAAGAGACCGTCAACAGCCTGATGCACAAAGCAGGCTGGGATGGGCCCTCCGAGAGCGTGGCGAGACGGTTTTTGCGAGGCAGCAGCAATGCTGGTCATGGCGCTGCCGCCGCAACCAAGCCATGGGAGCAGGTCTCCGATTTTCGAGCTGTCAAGTACCAGGGCCTCAAGGCCAGCAGCAGCTACGCGGAATGGCAAGAATGGCGCCAATGGGTCCTCTCGCTAGACGATGGGAGCCAACAGCTTTTGAGTTGACGAGCCCAACCAATGATTCCATTCAACCTGGATGTTCAATGATGCGATGGCGTTAATGAGACGGGAGGCGTTTTGTCACTTTTGGTTATTTTTATGCATTTGGGACATATTTGCCACATGCCATGTAAACAGCGAAACCTCGTACACGAACCGTTTATGTGGACATAACTAATGGGAATATATGTATCTTTCGGCTAAGCGTGCTCATTTCGCGATTAGACCCCTTCGGTACTATATCCTGTAGCTCTCTGATATTGTACACTGAAGTGCCTTGTGTGCTTAATGTCCAGCTACTAAGTTGAATCCATTCCTAATTACAATAGTAGGCGTAATGTGGGCTCAATCTAGTTGAAGGATCAACCAATTACATCATTTGCTATAGTTACTACTAGGTATAAAAGAAAAGTGAAAGGACCAAGACCGAAACATCTTTCTTTTGCCACGAAAGCCACACCAGATAATAATCAGAAGAATCCATCCCCATCAAGGGTAGTAAGCATTTATGATAATAAGAGAGTGGGTGACAGTGGAAGGGGAGCAAAAGGTATATAAGCTTTAGTAGTAGTAAAAACGATCCCACAAAAAGTAATAATAATACGATGTATATATACTTATTACCAACCCTTATTTCTTCCCAGTGCGACTCCACAACCCGGCGACCATTTCTTGAACTTTCCGCTCTTGAGCACGGATCTGCTCTTCCGTCTGACCACGAGCATTGGCACGGCCGTCGATTTCCATGTCTCCGTCGTGGTCCCGTCGTTCTTCGATGACGTCGTTGCCGTTGACTCGTTCGGGCTTGGGGTCGACGCTCATCATGCCGTCCATCATTAGGCCGCCGCCTTCGCGAAGCTTGTTGATGGCGCGAACGGTATCGATGGCCTTGTGGAGGGTGCGACGGGCGTTGAAGTTCTTCTTGACGGTCGGGAGGAGATCTTCGCCGGAGCCGAGCTTGTCGGCGGATGTGTCGTAGGGCGGGTTGACCCAGGCGTGTTGCAAGGCGTCGTGGGCTGTCATCCGAGCGCTAGGGTCGATGGTTAGGCAACGCTTGATGAAGTCTCGTGCGTCGTGGGAAACGCCGCGCCAGTATTCGATTGGGGTGAAGGAGTAGTCTGCTGCAAGGATGGCCTGCATCTCTTCCAGGTTGGAGTCGCGGTCAAAGGGGGTGTAGCCGCATAGCAAGAAGTAGGTGATGACACCGATGGCCCAGATGTCTCTGTTGAGCGGTCGTTAGTATATGAAAATAGTAGTCGGACTGGCAAATTGCCATGGCGAGGAACGTACACTGGCTTTCCATGACCACTCTTTTTGAAGATCTCGGGCGCCATGTATCCCGGTGTACCGCACGTCGTTGTAAGAACATGGAACTGCTCCTCGTCCATGATCCTCGACAAACCAAAGTCTGCGATCAGTAGATCTGCATTATCCTCCGGAGTGCGGAAAAGAAGGTTCTCTGGCTTCAGGTCCCGATGCACGATGCCGTGGTCGTGCAGGTATGCCACAGCGGAAAGAATAGCACGAATGAGGTCCGCGGCATCGGATTCGTAGTAACTGCCCTTTCGGCAAATGCGATCGAAAAGCTCGCCACCAAGCGCAAGATCGGTAACCAGATACACTGTAAATGGCGAGGATAGTTAGTCCTCAACAACTTTGATACTAGACCCCACACCAGTCATGCACATACAGTTGTTCATAGTCTCAAAGTAATCGACCAAGGTCAGGATGTTCTGATGCCCCATCGACACCCTTTTCAGCACCGCGATCTCATTTCGAACCTATCATGATCCCCCCATGTTCCTTATCATTAGCCTTCCTGCTATATCTCGACTTTCTCCCCAGCCACACCTGGATCTTCATGAGGGTAAAGAAATACCATGTGCTCACGTCCCGCCATCAAGCGCTTGTTGATGACCTTGGCCGCATAGTAGTGGCCGGTGTCGATGTGCACACATTCCTTGACGACCGAGTAGGAGCCAGCTCCCAGGGTCTTTCCGGTCTTGTATCGGCAGGGCTGGACCTTCGGCCGTTGACCTGCTTGCGGTTGCGACGCCATTTATATATGATATTTCAAGAAGCGACAGAGTTGTGTTTCAGGGGTGGAATTCGTAAGGGTGGACGGTCAATAGGGTCTGGGTTTCAAGGCAGACGGATAAGGGTGGTTCGGGCCTGCGTCTTCAGCCCCGCGGTTAGTATCAGATGGGTAGACAAGATAGCGTATCCTGGACCCAATGAAGGTGAGCCCAATCAGAAAATCGCTTACATACCTGCAGGAAGTGTGAAGGATTCACAGGCAAAGTGAAACGAGCCAGGGTGATAGGCAGAAATAGGGACTGGGTTGTTCCGTCGCAATGGGACGATGTGGTGGAGTTTCGACCGACTGCGGGGTTTCGGTGCAGACAGCCGTTGGGCGGACACGGTTCGGAGTGGGGGGAGGGTTCCCAAAGCCAGTTGAGGATGATGCTTCTGAGATATACCTACAGAAGACAGACACAGGCTGCTAGCGATGCTGCCCTTCTGGGGGAATGTGGGAAATAAAATTGATGGAGATCGGCGTGTTGGAAGGAAAGTAAGTTGGGGGTGACAGATCGGATTGTGTTGCGCCTGCCACAAACACACGTGCCGAGGTGCTAATCGAGTCTCATCCATGGATCGCGTGCACTTGGTCTCGTATATTTATAGATGCAATTAATTGCGATATACACCGATCAGACGAATGTGATCATTTCCCACATCCACTATAGAAATACGCTACAGGCCCAGGACCCTTATAAAATACATCTGTTTCTCAGATCGAAAACTCACTGTGGGAAGGTCCGGAGGTATTTCCCGACATCTTGAACAGCCCTTAAAAGAGGGCACTGGCACTGCTACAACAAGCGTCGTTTTGAGTTTCTAAGCAACATATTACCCACGTGCTAGATCCTATTATGCATACACTATGTATTGAATGGAGTCAAGATAATAACAATGCTATGTACGCCATTGAATTGACCCTTAATCCCCTCCACAACGCCTATCCAATGTTGCCCCCGGCCGCATGTATATATCGAAACGAAGTGTAGAAGAGTTACCGCGGGTATAGCCACCAACCATCAACGCTCAAAACGACAACAAGCAATCATGCAAGAACAAACCCATGTTCACATCTGTGCAAGCACTTCTCCTACAACACTCTCCAACAACTTGAGACCATGGAACTTGGCCACGCTGTTCAAGATGTGCAGTTTCCTCTCAATCTCCTTCCGATCCATCGTTTCCACCCACACTCCACTGCACGAGCAATGCTCCATGAAATCGCTGACCTTCAGCGTTCCACATTTCGAGCACTTCAGGTCCTGTGTTTGCCACCCGACAATGTACCCCTGGATTTGACCGATCAAGATCTCTTCCTGTGCCAACCGGTCATATTCCGTTTGGCAGAACGGACAGCGCCATGGCTTGGTCGAGCTCTTACTGGCGTCAACTCCGGGCTCGGGCAGTACATCTTCGTCCCGACACAAATCCAGATCTCGGATCAGGCAGCATGAGCCGCAGGTGAGTTCGGGGATCTTGAGGCTCGCGCCGGGGTTCTCGAAGCGGCCTTCCTTGCTGAATTCTCGTACTTCGAACAGGGCTAGCAATTCGCGACGCAGTAACCGGGTCTCCATGGTAGTTAACTTTGACAGACTAAGGACTTGCATGAGTAGTTTCACGAGTTCCAACACCGGGTTGCGCTTCTCTTCATTAGGGTCGGACAGTACACCAGGGAGGACAGGGAAGATGTAATCAGAGGCTAGCTCCGGGTGAAGAAGCTCGTCGCGCTGCCGACGAATGAGACCAGTGATTTGCTTCTTCAGTGGTTTCGAAAACTTTTCTGCGAGGGCAGCCGAGGCTTCCTGGCTATCCTCGTCACTGGGGCGTCCAATTGGAATCTGCGTCAATCGAGGCGTAGAGTCGTTTGTATCCGGCCGTTTGAGACCGTGCATGAGTTCGATATACTCCACAACCCAGTCATGGAAAATACTTTGCATGGGCGTGGGCAGTGTACGGTTGAGTTGCCAGTGCATGACGGTTTCCAACTCTTGTTCATCGGACTCGACGACTTCTTGGCAACCTTTGCCACCGTAGTTATATTCGTCGTACCAAAGCAGGTAGTCCCAGTACTCCTTGATCTCGAGGTCGATGAAATGAAACGAGGGGTTGGCTCGGATGGACTTGAGCACGTACTGACTGTATGCGTAGGCATTGCCCACCTCCGTTTTGGAGGTCTGGAGCAAGAGACGGGTGGAGCTAGCAAAGATGACATTTGACCCAACGCGCCTGAATTCAGCCATCAGGCGCTGGAATGATTTCCGTGACAGCATCCGTACGTAGTGATGCAAGGACCGATCATAGAGACATGAGACCGGACTCTCTACCCATCGGATCAAATGCTGCACCATAATATCTGCCATGCTGTTTCCGTCGCAAGCCTCAGTCCACCAGTGCTTGACCATCTCACGCAGCACAACCGCGCCGGCTGAAGCGAATGCCTTTTCGGAGTACAAGACACCGCCTCCGTTAGGGTCTGCGGATTGGCCGGACGAAGCCAGAAGTGTATCCGCACCCTCCATCTCGTTAATGATGGACGATGTGAGAATTGTGTTGATTGCCAGATTACGAACCTCCAACTCAATGCATACTGTGGTATACGCACTTGGAACATTCACCGATGGCATGGAGACTTTCTCAAGAGGACCGGAGATATCGTCCTTCTCATAGCCCGCATGATCAGGCCGAGGGTTCGAAGACCACCAGAGCACAACGTTGTTCTGCTGGAGCCGTCTGGCATACGAGATATCGATGAGGAAGCGAGGGTCATCGTTCTCCAAGTTGCAAAGAGGAACGTCACCGTATCTAGCAAGCAATGTCAAGTGTTGAATCCAGGCGGAGAGATAGAGGTAGTGAGTGACCAATCGTCTGGCAATGAAGGACTGCCATCCCAGAGGTGGGAGATCCATATCTGACACTTCCGGTTTGACTGGCAGCGTAGGGTACTCTCGAAGGATCGGAATATCATGGCACAGACGCTTCCTTTGTTGTGACTGGATGACCATAACAGCGGGCATGGTCTCTTCGGACTTGAACTTCTTGATCAAGTCTCCAACCTCCAGGTGAGCCTTTCTCCTAGTAGTCACCTGTGTGGTCCTGAAATGGATCTTGTCCTGATATTCAAAAGCAGCCTGTGACTGGTCTCCTTCCATGGTTTGCACTCTTCGCGCGAGAAGTTCAGAATAGATCTTGTCGAGGTTCGGAAGACCCTGAACATCCCGCGTGCGGTTCAAAATCACGACATGTGCCTCATTCTTCGTGCTGGAGAAAAGGGCGAAAATCTGCCTGTCCCCAGATGCGACATGATAGAGATAATGGAAGGCAAGTGGCGAGTCAAGAAGATACGGTTGCTCTGTGGTTGTCCGGCATAGAGTCGAAAGGTCAAAGCCGCGGTCCAGGCCTTCTCCGAGAACACCCCGTTGCTCCTCATCGAACGTACAAATGCTACCCAGCTTAAGGACTGCCCGGATATTGAGAGGGATGTTCTTCTCGTAAACGCCCTCAACGCTAGGGTGCTGGAAGAGAACATCGATCTTTTCCGCTTCGCGGAGATATGTCTCTTCCGACAACGTTAACTTGAACAAATGGACCGAAGGATGTCCGTTGGGCAGTGTGTGGTTGACCTTTTCAACCTCGCAGTCCGGCACGTCGACATCAGGAAGTGAGTCCTGTTTGAGGTTGACGTAAATCTGCCGGGGCACCTTGACTGTGAGAGCATGTATCTTTCGGTCGATCAGTACAAACGCTCGCACAATGCCAGGCCTTCCTGTCTCGGAAAGCTGCAGAATTTGCCAGGTATTGATGTATAACAACTCGGCCTGGTTTCTGAACAGATTGCTCAATGAATCGCCACCTGCGTTTGCCCTTTCACCGAAAAGTTGACGACGACGAATGCGGGCTTGTTTCTGTATCTTCCACTTCTGCTTCTGGTATTTCAGGAAGCCAACATAGTCATCCTCCATTGACGGCATCTTCGCGGGGAGGGTCGCGAAAGGATCAAGAGAGGTCTTTGACAGACCTTCCGGATGCTTTCGCTTTTGGGAGATCTTGGTTTCGGATGATGGCTTGAGCTTCTGTGTAGAGTTGGCAATGGCTTCATCCAGATCACCTGTATGCTGGACACGATGGTCGAGAATATTCGTCGAGATGTCTGTCAATGGATTCTTCTCCTGCTTATCGGACTTGATGAACATATCTGTCATCTTCGTTTGCTTGAACCTGTCATCCTTGGTGTTGATCCGCCGTTGCAGCCAGTCGGGGTGAGCAACTCGAGGAACCGGGTTACGAATCTTCTGCAACGCAGCGGGGATGGTAATGAGCTTCTGCACAACGGAGCCCAGACGCTCAAGATAGTAGTCCCAGTCAATCACAGTACGAGGATCCATATCGCCGGGGTCATCTTTAAGCCACTTGCGCAAGAAGAAACGCTTCACGTTCTCCTCAGCGGAGAAGATCGCCACGGGAATGGCTCGTTCAGTGACAGGGGTGTTCCGGGGCTTGGATGAAATGATGTATTTGCAGTTCAAGCCCTTGTCTTTCACCATCTGCTCACCCAGGAACTCTGCCAGACGCCGTGCAGTTGTGATAGATGTTGACTTCTGGTTTCCATATTCTTCAAGTGTCTTCGTCATGCTCCTGTTCTCCGAAATGAGATCGATAAGTTCTTCGTCGGCCAAAGTTGCACCGTGTTCGTAAAGTACATCCAACCATCGGTCAGCCACCTTAGCCACTGCAGCATACGTCTCAGTAAGATTTGTGCCTTCCAGGAAGAATCGGAAGATTTGAGTTTGGAAAATCTTGATCAGTTTCAGCTCTCCACGACGTTTGACCTCGAAACCCTTCAGTTCCGCCAGTGAGCCGTCATGGTTAAAAACTGCATACCGTTTCTTCAAGTTCTTGTCCTCCTCCTTTGAGGTTGGCAAGATCATAGCTCTGTACGGACCATCGACCTCGAAGAAGATTGAGTTCTCACTGTTTTTGTCG